CCCCGTTCCATCAACAAAGAAACTCAGGTAGAGAGAAAAATCGATGGGAAGTTTTACACCGCTGTGATTTACTGGCTACGTGAGCGTCGGTTTGCATTCAGATGGGCCACAGATAGATTTATTATCACTACGGCAACAGGCTCTTCCTCTGAGAGTAGGCTTATCACAACTTGATGAAACTATTTTCCCTCTTCCCTTATCTTCTGCTGTGCCGTCCAGCGGGAATCCTCCCGGCCCACTACAGCGCGCCTGGGCCACAGCACACGCGCTCCTGGACAATATGTCCTAATATCCTGGCCATTCCGAGAACAGAGAATTCTGATCCATCCCTCGGAGGGCCTCAGGAAAGCTCCCCTGCATTGACTGCAGAGCTGCCCTGCTCAAATGCAAGTTCCCCGCCTCCACACTTACACAAATGAGAGGGACACATAATTGCAAAGCACAACATCCGTCGATACCACGGGCGTCAGAGAACCGTCAAAGACAATCACTCAGCGGCCGCTTTTGTTCTGCCTACTGAGCCAACATTTGAATGAAAGCAGCAAAGAAGAAAAAAACAAACGTGGAACTGGGTAGTATTTTTTCTTCATGCGAGTACAGCTCTTAACTCAGCACTTGATAAAGCTGCTGAGGGGCCTGTGGTGGACTGTCTGTCAACAGCTGGACAGTCTGTCAACAGCTGGACAGTCTGTAGCGAAGCACAAGAAAGGGGAACTAAAAGCTGTGAATGAATGAGAGGGACAGTCCATGTCAATGCACTGGTTAATGAATGAGGGGGACAGTCCATGTCGATGCACTGGTGAATGAATGAGGGGGACAGTCCATGTCGATGCACTGGTTAATGAATGAGGGGGACAGTCCATGTCAATGCACTGGTGAATGAATGAGGGGGACAGTCCATGTCGATGCACTGGTGAATGAATGAGGGGGACAGTCCATGTCGATGCACTGGTGAATGAGAGGGACAGTCCATGTCGGTGCACTGGTGAATGAATGAGGGGGACAGTCCATGTCGATGCACTGGTGAATGAGAGGGACAGTCCATGTCCCTGGGACTGTCACTAGCAAGTCCCCCCTACTCCCTTTTCCTCTTACCTCTAGTGCTGGTCATCAATCTAGAATCTAATCTACAACCTACGTTGCGTTGACATTGGAGCGGCGAGAGCTAGCAATCATTAGCAGGCCCTAATTCAATTGTCCCCATTGAACATTACAGCAAACTGGAGACAGACAGACAGACAGAGAAGCCGTAAACAACTTCCCACACGCCTCCCCTATCTGATTTAGAGTGTTGCTGAGGAATTCCAAATGGGTCCAGACTCCGCTGGTGGGCTCGGACCAATAAATGAAGGCCTATTCTTTGATCTTGGCAACGGTGAATAGTTGACTATTCAGCCTCACCGCTGTTAGATGGAGACATTTTAAAATCTCTTTATCAATCACGCGGCTGCTTCCCTGCATATTTCTCTCGGTTGGCTCCATTCTTTCTTCCTCTCTTTTAACTTTACCAGTAACTCCCTTGGTATCAGACCCCAAAGCCTGGCGTGTGTGTGCTCCACAGCAGGCATGGGATACACGTGTAGGCGTGTGCGTGTGTGCGAGCCTCACTAAATACAATTTACAACTTTAAAAAACCAGACCCCGAACTCTCTGCTCCACGAAGTCTGATCTGCAGAGGCCGTGTGCAGCATTCGTTTCCCTCCATCTCTTTAGCTTTTTATTTTTGGTGCCTGTATTTACTTCACCTGCTCCGTCTCCTCTCCGATCAGGTGTTTCCTCCATCCTTTCCAGGTCACCTTTTATGTCTCTGTCATTGTTTCCCTCTCTTCACTGTGAGCCAATTCTCGGAGTGTCGATAAACGACAGCCGAATCTAGTCAGTGGACGCGCTCGCATCCGAGCGTGCACAAAAATGGCCGAGAAACCCAACCGAGCGTCTGGACGGGGCGTTTGAGTCGCACGTAGCGTCCCAGAGGATAATGACTAGAAGCTGTCTGTTCTCTGTGGGATCCTCCCCTCGTTTGCCATCAGACACACGCGCGCACGTACGTACACAAGCGCGCGCATAAAAAAGACTGCCGCGTGACCCCAGCGGGGAGGCATCTGAGACGCAGGCCCGTCCGCTGACCCGCTGGGACACTGATCAAAACACGTCGCGGTCGCTTCTGTCGGGTCCGGAAAGACAGAAACAATGAAAAAGTGGAGCGTGTGGAGACGCAGTGAAGTCGCCGCTTGCTCATTTAAGCAGCGCTGGAATGAAAGGACATTCCTCCCATCGGGAGCTTTCAGTTTGCTGCTTATTTTTGATGAATCAAATGAGCAGTCGGAGAAGGATTTTTTAGAGGAATAAGTAGTTTGTAATACGGAAGAAAAAAATAAAATGAAAACAAATTTTCCCCAGAATCAAAGAGCAATGTCTTTGTTGCTATGATGCACTTGTTTAAGTATAACAAAGAAGAACCACAGATTTAAGTAAAAATAATTATATTGTTATGTGTGTGTGCGCGTGTGTGTTTCTTTGTGGACTTAAATGCACTCCGTCAAATGTAACGAGTAGTTTGTCAATGGTACCATAATTAGAAATGTACTTATTGATAATTATGGTTCATTGGCCTTTTCCAACATTGTGTGTTGAACATGACGAGTTCCGTTTTCCCCCCACAACATGTCAGGCCTTAGTACACAAGTGTCCACCACAGAACCCCCCACAAGTCGCATGTGATGACCAAATGATGACAGCCTCTAAAGACACATAATGGAAGAACTTTATGAACTTTCGTCTTGGGCGAAAGCCAGGGAGACGCTTCAGGGGCCAATCAGCAGGAAAGACCTTGATGTGTAGGTTAAAGCAGACTGCAATGTAGAATTATTCACACACACACACACACACACACACACACACACACACACACACATTGTGTATGAGCTACTGTGCTCTTTTAAAGACAGCCTTCAAAGAGTCTTCACTCCTCGTTATCTCACCCTAGCTAATATGATGATGATCTCTCTCACACACACACACACACACACACGATATTTGACATCTCATAGGAAAATAAAACAAACGTAGACTTAGCTGTGCGTATATAAAAGTCTGTTTTTATCTGCATGGGTTTCATACCAGACTACAGCAATTGAAAGTGCACACACGTACAGGCAGCCCCCCCCAAACACACACACACTTTCTCACACACACACACATTGCACCAGGATAAGAGCGGAGGAATCAGGTTGCAGCGAGCTGATGATCACATGCTGTATTGCTGCACGCCGGGGGGGGAAGCCTGGGGGGGAGATGTGAGCGATGCCTCTACTGTACAAACTTTGGGAGGGCGAGTTTACAGTACTCTGCCCCCTCTTCCCCCCCGCGCACATCTTCATCTTTTCTCCTGAACATTTTGGTGAATTCGGGACTTAAATCTGCTGCAGTGATGCACATACTTGAGGAGAGGAGCTCGTCTTTGCTTGTGAATAATAAAGCAGCTGATCCATTTGAGGAATGTGGGATGCTGAGAGCTAAAGTACAAAGGCGAGACTTTTCTGAGAGTGTTTTTGTAACTTGGCATCACCGCGGGTAAAAATAAAAAATAAAAAAAAAAGCTAAAAAGTGATTCCTTGACTTATAATAATGAAGACAAAACCACATCAACCAAATTAACACGGCTGCAGAAAACACCCATAAAATGCCATGCAGCTTATTACTGCATGTATGGAGCTGCAGAGCTGTGAGAACGGCAGCTCAACCCAACAAAGTCGATTCAAACTAATATTACCGTTTGGTGAATATTTACATTGGCTTGCAAAACTGAATTTACATATTTTAATTTTACTGCGTAGTTTTCCCTTTTGAGTGATACAGGAAAAAAAGGGTTTTAAAAGCAAAATGACTCCAAGCTAAACACAGTATGAAACATACTAAGGTATGGTTTTAATGAAAGTTCCAAAATGGTTGGAGATAAATAAAAAATATAAAGCTGTGTTTCTTTTCACAATCCTTTTAAATTAAATTATTAATGATATTCGTCACATTCAGTTCTTTTCCGATCACCTCCTATTTTTTGACGTTGATGACAGCATATATTAGTTAGCTCATATAGCGTGACAACACTGTCTGCCTGGAAACGCTGAGTTTCATGTCCCTGAATTATTTATATATAATTAAAAACATGTGGATTATATCATCTGGATCATATAATAGCATCCTCGGGGTCACATAAGAACACTTGATGCCACAGAGCAAGATGCGCTAAACGCTCGTGGTGAGACTGCAGACATCATCTGATTCTGATTTTTCTCCAATTCTGGTTTCAGCCGGTTCAAACCGAATGTTGTCTAGGAAAAGGTTTAGTTTTACTGCTCAATTTTTTCTGAGGAACGCATTTTGTTTTTTTGTCTTTCCCTGTTACTTTAAATGCTTGTGTGTCTGTAAACAACCTAAAATTAGAACCGAAAGCAAAGCTTTTAAAACTACTGAGGACTGAGGATGTCACAGCAACCCGAACTGGGTGTGCCTTTGTGTCGTTCCCAACATAAGCAGGAAAACAAGTGTGGCAGCGCTGAAGAACTCGGCTTTCACACTTTTACATCAGGCACTCACCCTGAAAGCCGCTCCTAATGACGAGACTTCTCTTTGTGTTAAAACCTAAAGTGACAGCACTCAAAATCCGATCAATCAGATTTTTTGTGCCTTATTAATCCCCCCCCCTCCCCCCTCTCTCCTCCCCCGCCCGAATAATCGCGAGCACATGAGAAGTATTGAATTTCTTTCTTTTACGTCAGACAGTGTGCTGCCTGATATCAGCGCTCTCTGTGGAAAACTTCAAAAGACAATACTGTGGATTGTTAAGCTCCCCCCTGCTCCTTTGAAGGGCCATGTGAAGTACAATCGGATCAAATGTCATTAGCATTACTACAATTACTATACACCTATCTGAAAGATGCCTTTGATGTGGCTTTAGCGACCCTCGTAATTAAGATATGAGCCGGGCAAGAAGCGCTCACCTTCTTTGCGGCGTCGATACACCGCATGTATTCTTTGGCCAGGTCCGAACACCTGAGAGTCTGGTCTCGGTTGTCCCTGTAGCAGGATAAGATCTGAGCCTGCAGGCCCAGGCACACCGGGTCGGTGCTGCGAGACCTGTGGAACGCACAAACAGGGATGGAATTATTCAGGTGAATATATATATGTTCAAAATAATGTTCAATCCCCTCTTTCTCACGGCTTCTCACTGCTTCCCCAAAGGGACGATAACGTTGCGCCGTAACGGGTTTAACGTGTAAATAAGCCGCTGTTGACGCAGCTTGCACTCAAAAATGACTATTAAGAAAAACATTTTTTTAGCTCTCTAAATGAATACATATTAGAGAACGGCCACCTCTGTGTGTGTGTGTGTTTCACAGCTTCCTCAGACCTCATGCTTTGCCTTAAGCCGTACCTGGACAAAATAAAAATTGAAAAGACACACACACACACACACACACACACACACACACGACTAATTAAGGCAAACCCAAGACGGAAAACAATTACCAGCCTCGCCCTCTGCAACCGGTTGAACGGCGTGTTTGGTACGTGTCTCTCTCTCCAATCGCACAATTAGCGCTAAATCGCACTTAATTGTGTGGGTAGGATCGGCGTGATCAAGTACAGTTGAAAAGTGTGCTCCGAGTGGCTGAACGAGCCGTGCTTAATTCGCTATGTGGGCTGTGTTATAATTGGTCTTTGCCGGTCTATCGGCGCGATTGTTAACTATGACAGGCTCGCTGGCTGCGCGCCTCGCCGTAATGGACTCTGACTGATCGGAGCAGAGACGAGCCAGTTATGTCCGCCCACACACACACACACACACACACACACACACACACACACACACACACACACACAGTGTAGTACAGCAACGAACGTGGAAGCTTGAATGTTGATCCCCTCCCGCGGGCTCTCTCTGGAGGAGCATCAACGCAGATATAATTGAAGCCTTATTAAAGGGTCTTTTAGGCTTTGATGGCTGACCCCGCCTTTCAATTACAGGCGGTCGGTATCCGCGCCCACATTTTATCCTTCGCCCTCAGGGACGCAGGGGATTTTTTTTCGGAGCCCGGGGGGGGGGGACGGGAGGTTAAAGAGGAAAATGAACAGAGACACATGAAGGAATTAAGGGAGATAAATTGGCGACGGAGGAGGAACGAAGCGTTCATTGGGGGGGGGGGCTCTCATAAGAAGTTTTAAAACGATGAAAACTGATGAGATCACTCAGATCGCCCCCACCGAACACCTCCAACGGCGCGTCTTGCCTTTTTCCCCCAACTTGTCTCCTGTCTTCTCTCCGACTCACAACCCCCCCCCCTCCCGTCTCCTCTCCTCTCCTCTCCTCCTTTTTCTCTCATCGCATTAACAACACAACCCGCACGACCACAAAGCTCGCCACCGCTATCTCTCCCTGGGCGTTTGAGGCCTCCGCAGATAAGGAACTCCCCTTTAATTTGAAATAAATGGCCTTCATCAGGAGCGCCACAGCCTCCTGATAGCGCCGCGCGGCTTATTAAAGGCGCTTGGAGCAGAAAATTGGCTGAGCCGCGGCAAAAAAAAGCTAAAGCTCTGACCACATGCTACAACAAATTGACGGTGAGGTCTTGAATCAACAATATTAACTGAGCCGCTTACAAAAATAAATGTAGAGAGAGAAATGTGTGTGTGTGGGGGGGGGTTGTTTTCTTAGCTGGAGCGAGCGGAAAAAGCGGCGTCCCCCCTTACACGGCCCGACCAGCCGCGTGCCGGGTTGCTGTTAACGGGTCCCGCGTGCGGCGGAGGCATTTTAAATGCGCGCGTGGGAGCAAACATCTTCAGTAGTTCGCCACGCATCTGTGAGCGGGGAAATGTGACAACACGCAAACAGTGAGATTAGTTGCTTAATTAATGGCTGTGCCCATTATTTTTAATCTCCCGAGGCGTACGGAACACAGGGGCCTCGGGCTCGTGGACCACGCCGCCCGGCTTAGCGAGACAAGGGAGAGGCGGCGACATGAAAGGGGGAGGGATTGGAAAAATGGAAGGGACACAAAACACAACGGCAACTACAAAAAGGCCTCTGGTGAAGCCCGGAAGGGCGATAAGCAAGACGCCTTTATCGCCTCGCCGCCGTGCATCTCGCAGAGTTAGACTGATGCTTCCGTTCTGTGCGCTCCTTAATGGCTTTGGCTGCACATGTGAGGCACTGTTTGTCCTACGCGCGCCCCCTCGACGTGTATTCTGCCTGAGTACAAAGTATTGGCGTATCTGCGCGGCGTTGTGTTTCGGGCGGCCAATTAGTAAATCGTGTTCACATCTCACGGGAAGCGCCGCGCGAGGATGAAAAAGAAAGAGAATCCAATTCTGGTGACTGACTGGGCGGATACGAACGTTAAAAAGTTGTTTGTGTGGCGGCACACAGAGCATGTATTTGTATTTACGGTGCCTGGCTGCGTATTCCAAGGACGACAACGGCCTCCTTTCAACGTCTGTTTAAACATCGGGGCTTAAAAAAAAAAAAAATGCATATATATATATATATAAATAAAAGTCCCCAATCTGATCTCCTCATATATGAAGGACGCCGGCACATTTTCCGACGCCGCTCGCAGCGGGTTTGTGTGTGTGCACGCCGAGCCCCTCTCACCCAATGTAATGGTACGGGATGAGCAGGTCCGCACGGCGCCTAGACCTCCACCCCGCAGAGCGCCATTCACTGGGTTATTCAAAGCTTATTGAAGCCGACGGGTCCAAATTGGACCGCAGTTGACTCGGACGGTCGTCGGGTCTCCGGCGGCAACGCACCGGCCGTCGTTTTGGGGTTTCGTGTCTGATTGAACAACATTTCTCTGCTGAGACGCATCTGAGGCAGCGGTGTTTGTTTTGTTTATTGATTTTATCAAATGAAGGAAAATGCATCAAAATCTGACAAATAAATGATGACAAAGTGAGCAAATGCACGTGTCAACTATAATTAAACCTGTGTGCATATTTGTCTGCCCTCTGCTCTTGTAGTCCTGGTGGTTCTCTTTGCGGTAAAAGACTTGACTATTACTTGAAAAACTAAAAACTCATTGGAAAAAAGTTCAGCATTTCATGAGTTCAGGAGCCATTATTTATTTTTTTTCCAACACAATATAGATGGAAAGAATAAGACCACAAATACAGTAACTGTCCACTGGCTTCATAACTGCCAGTCGGCATAAAGAGTGGAGGAAGGTGGAGACAGCGAACGTGGTTCTGTTCAAAAACACAAAATCATCACTATATTTAAAGCTTTCCCATTAGCTGGAATACAGCTTTTGGATATGTACATTTTTGGCATTCTTTATTGCAACGCTCCACTAATTTGCTTAAAATGGTAACGGTCCTATGAGGACAGAGCGCTTAATCGCTGGTGGGGAGGAGAAAGCTTTGCAGGGGGAACAAGCGAGGTAAACACATCCATCCTTATCTATTGAGAAAAGAACATGGCGTCAGACGTTTTCGGAGGGTCGGGGCTCCTGAGCGCGCCGCTCCACCATTACCAGCTTGATTAATAACGCGGCGTCGGTGAAGTAAAGGGAAAAAGAGACACGATAACAAGGGAGCAGGAGGGCAGGAGAGGTGGAGAGGAAAACAGCCAGAGAGCCTCTTATCTCTGGCTCGTGGCTTGTATGCACCTGCACCCTGACAGCTTTTCAATTGACTGAGGGCACACATCCTGCGCTCCCCTATTTTGTTCCTGCACACTCCTTCACTCGCACCCTCTCATCCCTCCAAACCCATCACAGCCAGGTGGAGACTCCTCTCTGCGCTCAGACTTCTCTGTGTGTGCGTGTGTCTCTTGTAAACACAGAGGTGCATGTAGGGTGCTTTGATTCTCCCAACGCCTCGTTCGTTTCTTTTAATCAATGCAGCCGCTGCGTATGTAGAGCTGCACACGTGAAATTGAACCTCCGGCATAATGATTTTAGGACAGCCGCCCCGTGACGTGCAACAAATGGTCCGGGCGCCCGCTGCTCGGCCTCAAATTATAATTATTATATATAATTGAGACGGCCCAACATTTCCATCGCCTTAAAAGGGGTTTCTGTCAAGAGTTTGTCTTTGATGTGTAAACGGGGCACATTGTGGACCAAATACGCAATGTGCAGCATCTCAGGGGTTCACTTTATATGTATTTATTGTAGCGAAAAGGGGCCTCAAACAGTTCCTCATAACGATGTTTTTCCCTTTGACACTCTGCGCTTGCCAATAGTTGCAGCCGTATCGCTGAGTGATGTCCGCAGGCCAGTATCATCTGACACGGGCTGGAAGGATCTGACGAAGGCCGGCTATTAAGGCTGGTTCGACTAGGACTGTAACAGACAGCCGGCTTGTTAGAAGGCCTTTGGCAGTGGCTCGACGTGGTCTTCTGCCCTGTCCGTCTTCCGCTCTTGTTGCATTACTTTCAACTGTGAAGACGAGGGCTGTCTCCCTCCGTCCCTCACACGCAAAATACAGCTGGACTGAAAAGACAACTGTAAGCTGTACCTGTGACCCCGCAGCCAGGCAAGAGCCTGGCAAGTTAGCAGAAGGGCCGTTGGGAAAGGAGAAATCAGTTAGGCGACGCAATCAATCCGTCGGCCGTTTACACAAAGGCTTGGCGCTGGAGTCCACTGCTAATGCTGCACTCCGGTATATTGGCCCTATTGGAACGGTTTGAAATCAAATCACTCAGACCTGTTTTCTTAACGAATTTCACCAGAAGCCTGAATGGCGCTTTGACGCTTCACTTGGACTTAAGGGGCTCAATTGGGGACCAAAGCCTTGCAACCTAATGAGGCGCTGGAAGGAATCAAACGCTAAGTATGCCTTCATTACAATAGAGGAGGTTCTTCTTCTCTTCTCTGGCGTTTCTCATCTTTATCATTGTTTATTTGTGAATCTGCACAATTTGTTGATCATGGGACTTTACGGCATAATTTTAGCAAAACAAATTGTGTCATTCACATTGAGAGAGGAAGAGAAGTTATTGAGCTTCTCTCTCAAACACACACAGATGGGACTTGGACATACTGGTCCCATAAAACCCAGAGTCCCCCTTTTGGCTCCAAGGGTTAAGCTGTGGATTAACGCGCGCACGCACACACACACACAGCACATTTTACAGTAGCTTGGTTCTACAGCTCCGCATCGAGAGAAACTACACAATTCGCAACATCAAACCGCCTGTTTTGCAACATGTATGTCATCTGAAAATGTCAAAACATGGCAGTGGCAGTTGTTTTTAAATATGCGCGGTGAATGACTCCAAATGTCCGGGATCTGTTACTAACACTGTATTCACCTCTGAATACTAAATTTAATTCATTCAAGACGATCAACAGACTGATGACAGAGGACACAGAAGAGGCTCAGCCCATTTCTGTACGTTTTTAAAGCAGACAAAAATAAAGATATCTGCTACAACTCATCTACTGCACCCACCTTAAGTATTCTGCATCTATTGCTTTTGGAGCGCTGCTCTCCGAGGTGACAGAAAGCACGGTAGAGACCATCTTGAATCATTGCAAAATAATTAAATAATGAACATGCGTTGCAAAAGGCGTGTTCATATCGAGGCTGCCCACTGTTTAAGTAAGTCAGTAATCTACCAGCTGAACTGATCATGGGACGAGAGGCCTTAAGCAGGTGGTTTTATTCAATGCAAAGCGGTTACTCTTAACAAATTAACAACGGCTCTGTTCTTTTGAAGAGCAGCTGCTGTAGCCACTGAAGTATTCAGGTACGCCTGAAATGCATCCAATCTGTTTCTCACGTCTTATTTCATTTAAGTGACGCTACCGAATTCCCCCGCCGGTTGGGGCTCAGACTAGATTACAGAATGAATAAAGGGACTAATCCAGGCCGCAAAGCCTGCAAAAGCAGTATATAATTGTCACCACACATCGCGCCATACAGGGAGCTAAGATGGTGTTATCTTTACACACACACACACACACACACACACACACACACAAAGGAGAAGAGGATTATCAGTATTACTGTACAGTGTTCCCAGAGGTAAGATCACCTGCTTGTAGGCATTGCTTTAAATCGCCTTGTAGCGGGCGTCTTATTTTCCTAAACTGCTGATCACCACGTTCAGTCCCTTCAGATGAACACGGAGCGGGTGTGTTAACTACACGGTTGGCACAAAAAGCGCTGCGTATGAGTGAGTGAGTATCAGTGGGGCGACCCCAAGGTCGCAGTCAGCTATTCGAAGCAGACCAGAACACGCAAGTGGCTCTTAAATGGAGCGATTAAGGTTCATTGATGAGAGTTACAGACTACAGTAAAAACAAGTAAAAAGTGTTATTTGTAATTTGTTCAGATAATCGAACCTCAGGGGCATAAAATCTCCATTTAAACGTACATTTCGTAGTTTTTTTTTTATTGGCCAAAGAGTTTCGTAGTTTTGGGGGGAAATGGAAACGCAAAGAAGCCTGACGAGCCAGGAAACACAAACTGTCCGGCGATCAGACGGGTTTGCACACGAGCCAACAGTGCAGGCAGATTATCTCAACCATTTGGTGAGCAGGATGAAGCCCGGACAGCATCTTGATGTTTCATTCAGGAATGAGAATGAGTGCATGCAGAAGGGAGAGGCCGGTCGGCACAGCGTGACACGGCGCGACCCCTGACCTAAGAGCTCTACAAGCCCGAGGACGAATAAACAAGCGCTTACGTTATGTCGTCGTCCGTAAACACTGCCGTGGTTCTTGTTATTTGAAAACCCCCACCAGCGCCGGGGAGTCGAGGCCCGGGTGCGTTACAGGCTGCAGGGACAATAATTAGCTCCCTTTCCACTGACTGCGGCTCATTACTGCGAGGACGGGGAAGCAGGGTATGGTGAGATTTGGCTTAATGAAAGGAGCCAATTAAAACACTTATCACATTAGTCGGGTGTGCTTCAGAGAATGTCAGTATGTTCCTGGTTAAATATGTAGAAAAAACAGAGCAGATCACCATCTATCACTGCTCATTAGTCTGCTGTGGGTACGCTCACGTACGTGCGTGTCGGTGGCTACAGGGAATAATATCGGCTTACTTTTGGAACTGCAAATGAGTTGGTGAATGTGTGTTTGTGTCGCTCACCTCACGCTCGTTTCCGTCTTGGAGGCCGCTCGGTGGAATTCGTCCTTGCTCTGTTCGTATCGCTCCAAATTCTAAAAGGGCAACACAGGACGACATCGACACACAGCATTAGCACAGCAGCGTTTGGTCTGGGCCAATCATAGTTTTGGTAATTGAAATTGAGGCATTTTTGTATTTGTAGCTTTTATTTCTAGTTTCAGCTTAAAGCATCAGATTTTTGGTTGCAACTTTATTTGGAACACCAGTTTGTCCGCTTGCGTGTCCATAAATTCAAGAAATGAGATGTAAAGGGTGTAAAAACCGTCTGACACACACACACAGAAACACAGAATAGCAACAAATGTTCTGGTGGGGAACCAGTGAAGAAGGCATTAAGCTACAGCAATTTGTATCAAGTCAAAATAAAAAGGACCCGGAGGAACAACCGTGACAATGTTTGTTTGTTGTGGAAAATTATTTCGATTTTTGAATTTGCAGGTCTGGTACCTTGTGAAATAATTTAATGTATCTAACAAACTTTGATTGTTTTTTTCCCTGAAAGAAACATTTGTGTTAACTGTCCAATTAGGTTAGAATGCAAGAACATTTGAACTTTCCATGAAAATAGCACTCAAAATAGAAAAATTAAAAAATATAGGATACAATCCCTTTCTAAATAAATTATATTGAGACACATTCATATTTTGGAGCAATCAGTCCAATATTTGAAATAACATTGGTACAAAATATGAGGAAAGTGCTGGATTTTGAACTTGTTTTCTTCGATTTTCTCTTTAAATGTTTTGGTTTTTGTACAAGTTGAAATAAAACAGCTATTATTCCTCCAGCTGTGCATTTAAGGCTAATTTTTTACTATATTTCTATCCCTAACGCTAAGTGGAAGTGGATTTAATTCTGTTCTACAAAGACACAAATACCACCAATAAATCACAACACTACTTTTTTTGAATCCCGACCATCTGTGACTCCTACAAATCTAAACTCAAACTACCCTGCTGTACTAGAACAAACATGTTCTGTCTCGCAGTTAATTTCTTCATCTTCCTCTGCGTCAGCTTCCTCTCCTCCGCGTATTTCCATTTCCTGCCTCTCGGCCTTGACGTGATAAACCTCTTTACGGAGTTCATAAACTCCCTCCCCTTTAAAAACATTACTTTCGCCCTACGGTGAACGCCACACTTCCCTGACACTGTTCCAGCGCTCACAGCAGGGAGGAAACGCCGCGTTGTCATTTCCTCCCCAGGAAAGCTTTGAGATTCCGGCCCCTTCTAGCGAAACTAAGGCTCGCTGGTAATGAGGAGCATTACTCGTACTTTTTTTTTTTTAAAGAAATCGTGATTTCTGACTTCTGCAGCTTGCCCGGTGAGCCCCCCCCCCCCGCCCCCCCCAACGCCGAGCAGGCAGGCAGTGGTATTATGATAAAACAAGCAGCTAATCCGCAACAACTGCAGCCCTTCCTCTGTTGATCCTCCTGGCTTTGAGCTCCCAGCACCCAGAACCCACCCACCCCAATCCCAAATATTTAACTGGCAAACTGCACCAGCTGGGGATGGAAGGATGACTGGGGAGGGAAAGAAGGGAAAAGCTAGAAGGAAGATAAGGGGAGAATTTTTGTTTTTTTATAGAGGCAGCAGAAGGCAAAAGGAGGAGAATAAAGAGAGAGAGAGAGAGAGAGAGATTGGTGTTTGAGTACGAGAGCCGGGATTGAGCTCTGTGTAATTATTATGTAGAAAGGTTTGGACGGTACAAAGGGAGTTCTGCCCGTGACATATATACACAGCACTGCACATAAAGTGGCTGTTAAATCTGAATGTATTTGAAAGTTATTACGCGTCACAAAGCTACGTATGGCGCCTGATGGACAATTTAAATTTCACAAAGCGTTCCTCTCAGAGCGGGCAAACACGCCTGGCAGGTGACTGCCTGCGTTCGCGGCCATGATATCTGAATTATTAACGATAATGAGTGACTAACATGCACAGTTGTACCACACGGCGAAGCCAACTTTGAGCCACAAAGTGGATTGTGACTGCAGTAGTAAAAAAACGGGACGACTTTAAGTGTGGTTTTCTTTAGACCGATAAAAGGCACCGTTCGGTCCAAATGCCGGACGTGCCCACCGCTGATAAGACGTGCACTCGCTTAAGCAGAAGAAAGGAAACATGAAGAAAGAGCATTTACATTTTAATAACGTGGGTCCGCCGCACAGTGGCGGGTCTTGAGCGCGGCGCTGTTTTGGTGAAGGGGTTCTGTGAATATAGATCAGAGGAGGGGGGGGGACTGGATGCCGTCTTGATTCCGCTGTATTTCCCTTGCAAACGGGTAAATTATTTCACGAAGTGGCACTTTGGAGGGGCTTCAAAAGGGAATTTCAAGAACAACACTAGAACAGCGGGAAATGATTTCAAAAAGGTGGTGAAAGAATGGAAATGGCTCCGGCATAAAAAACGCCACGCTACGACGTTGTAACGCACCTCTATCATGCGTGTGCGGTTATGTTGTAGCAGCCCGGAGTCATCAGACAGAGGAGCGGCGTGGCGGCGCGCCCCACCTGAACAACGCCTTCGCCACACCAACAACCCGTTTGGATGAACCTCCCACCTGCGGCACCACAAGACGGGCGAAGCCGCCGGCGTGGCCGGGCAATCTTCACGGGGTGCTGAGGGAAGGAAGGCTGAAAGCGTCTGAAACATGTGCACGAGCGCACCCTCATCATTGCTTTTGACGAATGAACACGGACGTGGGCCTGATCACACATTTGCATATCAATGCATCCGCCTGCTCCGCCACTTATTAGACCTGTCAGAGCTCCCAGCTAAAAGAATCGCTAAGGAGTGGCGCTCTTTTCGCACCGGCGAGGTTCTACGGCAACGGCAGAGCGACGCACATCTGGGGCTATTTGTGGCATCTTGATCCGTTGTTCACCTGCAGCGGTGAGATGGCATCCATCAGCGTAGAACGTGAGACATGTGATCAATGGTGGAGCACGTGGTGCTCGTGTTGAAACAAGGCAGGGAGGGACAAAGACTGTTCCGTATCGAATTGAACGAATAAATCGGTAGGTGAGTAAATGGAAATGTACAGATACGCTATTAAACAAACGAACACGAGATGAAAGCAGCTGCTCCTTGTAATACAGCAAACGATAAACAGGAAAACATCCATAAGCGTTGGGGGAACTTCAGCTCAAAGCCCAGGGAAAATTCTCCTTTTTTACATATATACAAACAAACAGGTAACGGTGTATTGTTTCAAAGCTGAACATCAAAATCAACAATAGGCTGCAGGAGAGGATGAGGAAAAGGAGGACATTAATAATGTTGACTATGGATAACACAACATATCAGCGTATTCATCTTCCTCCATCCCCCAGCCTTCTTCTTTTTTCTCTACTCCTCCCGAATCTTCAAACGTATTATCCTTCCCGCGCTGCGGCGCTTATCTACTCCATTTTGCCACGTGTGACGAAGATAAGGGTTGAAGTATCCCGCTTAAGGACAATATCTACACATTTATACGCCACGCGGATCGACTGATTGTCGGCGTTTGGTTCTGCTGAACCGCCGCCACTCAATTCCAGAGGCGTTGACTATTTGGCCACCTGCAGCCTCTAAGTGCCGGTTTCCTTCATTATGTCCCCTCTCAGTCCCCAGGGAGAAAACCCCTGCGCGTGGCAGAAAAGGGAAAAAAAAGAACGAACAATGGCGCCACTACGGAGAAACAACTATTATTACCGTCGCTTTGGTAACAGCGGGGTTTTGGGGGGGGGGGGGATTTATCAAGAGGCCGTTGAGACTTGCAAAATGTTACCACACTTGCGTTTGAGTCGAGAAAAAAAAATAAAATAAAAAAGAAGTGAACAAGCTCGTTAGGCGTGAAAAGGCGGCAACAGCTGTGCTTCACCGCCATCAGCCCGGATTGTTGCTCCCTCTTAAAGGCGATGATTGCAGCCGTTCGCCCCAGCTGTCTACACAGGCTGACTCGGACCCTGCAGCTACGGGGGGGGGTGGGGGCTTCGTTATCCTGCTCGCGTTGGTGGGGGCTGTGCTATCGGGACTGGAACTACGCGCCGTGACCTACGGGTGCACGCAAACACACGGACACTTGTCAAAGCAGATAAAAGTCCAGATCTTTTCCTTTTAAGTGGGTGGCCGAAAAAATCTCTCTCTCGTTTTCTGCAGATCCTCCTCCAACCTCTTGGTTTGACCGGTGAGTGGCAGCGATGTTTCCCCCGAACACAGTGAAATGACTTCTGACCCGTGTTGGTGTGTGAACTTTGTCTTCTGTCACACTGCGGAGGCCCAGATGAACACACATCCATCTGTTTGAGCATTTGCTCCGTGTACGTCTTACTCCCCGTGGCCATCGCGGGGTCACACAACACCACCTGGCCGGCTAATCCTTAACTTAACGTTGGATGGGACCCCACGGCACAACGTGCAGTAAAAACGACGTCCCGGGGGTCTGGAATCTGCGCACTCTATGCGCCTCGGTTTTATACTCGGCAGATGTCTTTGCCTTTGAGCAACGACTGGCCATTTTCTCTTTTGCCAGTATTTATACAATGCTAAGTTAACCTGCCTTAACTTTTCCGATGAATTGCATTTTTAATTAGGTGTTATTGACACCGTTTGCTCTCTCAGCACTTTACGCGCTGTTGAGAGGCAATAGATACGCACCGATTTCACGTATATCACGTTTAATTAGTTAGTCATCTGCCCAGATGCTGTTGAGCCCAACCACCTGGAACTTATTAAAGATTAAAAGTTGAAATACAATATAAAACATGCGTTCTCCTGCCAAAAAGCAATGTCCTTTTGAGGAATATTAAAAGTAATTCAGGAATATTCATCTTCACACCTTGAGAGGTTTAATTAAATGATCTTGTTGACTGTTTAACACGGTTGGGGAGTGAACACAGGTCCATTTTCTGTTGCCAAGGCAAAAATAATGAGGCAACTTAGAGCCACACTTTAGTATTGTTAACTTATTAGGAAACTCATATCTTCATCTCCAGACGGGAGCAGCCTGAGTGAAAATATTGCTAACAAGCTAAACTAATAAGCAGATTCAAGCAGCACGTTGAGCGGGCAGCTTTTCACAGGATGAAAGCGTTAAACTTTGACTCGGCCTACAGGGGGTGTATTCATTTCCATGAGAAATGCAACACAGCAGAAAGTTTTTTAAACGGAAAAACTGTACTAAAATATATATATATACACACACACACACACACACACACACACACACACACACACACACACACACACTCTTGAGTTCTTGAGGGCCTTGAACACACACACGGTTTGTTGGCACTGTGTGTGTACCTTATTACATTGTTATGTGTATGGTATTGTAAATAAGTCTCGTTCGTCTTTTGACCAGAAAAAAAAGTTACTGCCATTGGCAATATTTGGTGTGTGTGTGCGGCAGATATTTCCGGTGCACTACGTGGGGCTCCCCTGCTGACAGTGTGTCAAACAACCTGTCAGGCCTGGAGGGGGATTATTACCTCCTTCTGTACGCTGCATTTCCACCAGCGTCACAAGCGACACCTAACTGCGAGAGAGCGCGACAGACAGCGAGGGGAAGAGACGCGAGGAATCAGGAAGATAGTTTTAGGTGCTCCTGAAATTAACCGGAGCCACATACGCCCACTTCAAAGAAATGAGACTACCGCTTTCACCATGGGGGACAGGAAACGCTGAGAAATCGGAGATCCATTTTGATGTCATTTGATGGATCGCTCTAATATGACTCATCAACTCATTGGCCGTCCCGACGTTCACAGGGAATGCAACTCAGACCCACCGGGTCGAATCTCCCAAGCCGGCTGCGTGGAGCCCCCCCCATCCCCCATCCCCCATCGGGAGGTGGAGAAACCGTACTTTTGGTTCACTGTGACGCTGTGCCAGGTGTAAACTACAGTGCAGGTTATTGACGGTAAACACGTCCCTTTAAGTTCATTTGCCTTGTTCTAAACGACATCCCGCGCAGCCCTGGACTGCATCTAAACGTGTCATAAGTTATTTCGATACATCCCTAACCAGCTCATATGTTAATGCCGAGGGCGGGACAACATCAACATACAGTAAGCCGAGCTCAGTTTGGAGAATCGAAAACCCCGAGCGGCCCCGAACCCTTGGAGTGGGCAAAAACTGACGAAAACTGAGGCATTATGTGGCTTCTGCTGGCGTCTGACAGACACACTGAGTCGGCATGAAATTACCCCCAGTTACTTATACAGTGTGCATGAAAAACACACACAAACAGAAGTCTATCGACAAACATCCTAAACCCAACGGCAAACACAGCTTGTTCGCCCGTATGTCAGCCTGCCAGTCTTCTGCTCCCTCTGCAAACCCAACCTGCTACTAATGAGAGCAGCGCAAATAGAGAGGCATCTGACACCGAGGCCTGTGTGCGCGCGCTTCAAATGTGGGTAGTGACGATGCATGGAGGTAGAATTTGAATGCACATTTGATGCTACGGTGATGTCAGCCCAGTGTGTGCTTGCCCGTCATCGAAGGAATCGTGGAGGGTGGAACTCTATCCTCGTATGGTGGCTTATGGCCCAGGCTGCACGCAACCCCCACTGACACGCACACCATTCATGCAAAACTCGGTTTTACAGCAGCCTCAGGAATTAACAAATGATGCAATAAGAGAGAAGTTTACACTAAGAAGAACACATGAACCACAGGGCGCGACTCTGCAGCAATGGTACTCACAACCGTCCCATGGCGGGGCAGATTTTATTCTGCCACGGGGAGCAGTACCTAATACTCAGATTTCACACATAACGTCCAGTAAAAGGTCTTGTGCATCCGAGCACTTCCTCCAGAGAGCACGCGTAAAGGTCCGTCGTGTGAGGCGGAGACTCGACCGCTTCTACACCTTTTTTCTGCCGGCTAAAAACGCAGGCAGACGGAAGGGGATGGAAGGGCTCGTGAGAGCTCGGGCTGGCTAAATAAAAAAAAAAATGGCCCAGTCCTTCTGGAATGACATTTGCTCTTCCCTGCTGCTCTCGTGCACCCGTGCCAGCTATAGTTTAGCTTTCCGTTAGACAGAAGAAGTGGATTAAGGAAAAACAAAAAGGGGAAGAAAGCGTGGTAAATTCTCACTGTGTTAAAGCTGGGCAAAATATATTTTTGAGCCTCCTATATATAGTAAGAATGTATTCAGCCACAAGACAAAGCAAGTATTTAAGTTTAACAGTTGCTGGTCGACCACTTCTGCACTTTAGTTTAGTTTGCGTAACTTTTTATTGGTTAGAAAGGTTTTGCTTGGCTACAAACAAACCGGCCGAGGCAGCGGCAGACCACCAACTCCCGGGATCTGCCAGGGGAAATAATGTTGTTGTCAAAGGAGCCTTAGATTCAGTAACAGTTTCAGAGGTCTGACGGCTCGTTCTAAAAATAGCCCACACTTAAAAGTTGGAATGATTTATTCGGCGGGGCCGCTCGCTCAGGTGGCTGCAAGGTGTTTCCCTGCTGGCCTCCACCGATTACGGGCGAGTATCTGGTACAACCCCACTTTGAGTAATCCAAAGGACCCCTTCAGTGTGGCCGTCCCCTTCCCCCGCTCGCCCCCCTCACGGTTTGTGTTGCTCTTCTGCAGGTGTGCTGGACCAGAGTCAGACGGGCGATGCCACAATGAGAGTTACAACACACACACACACCAGTATTGTTCACCCACTTCCTGTCGTTGTGTGGCGGCTGAGTGAACACAAGTGCTGTGTGTGAGTGCTGCGTGCCTGTTTTTTGTGCCTGTACTGCAAAATAGTGTGAATGTTTGTTTGGTGGCTCTTTATTTATTTATTTGTATGTCGAAAAGTGAAGTCTGTCAAAGTGTACAGACATTGTGTAGGTCTGTAGGCTTGGATAGTACAGTACGAGCAACTTTGGCAATCTGCAAAGGCCTCCAATGAAGTCTTGGAAAGCGCCTGCGTGTGCGTGTGTGTGTGTGTGTGTATATAAATGTTGTACCTTCTTCTCCAGCTGTGCCAGCTGCTCCTTGTAGAAGGCTTCCAATGCTTTCAGCCGTAGATCTTTCTTCTGTAGCTGCTCGGCCTGCAAGAGAGGACACACACACACACACACACACACACACACACACACACACACACACACACACACACACAGTTGTGAGGAGGATTAACAATGTTTACTTACGAGAAAGTGGTGGACTAATAAAGGATGTGGTGTATTGGTGACGTTGGTATTTTAAATGCACCTTGGTCAATACCCCTGTTCGGTGTTACCCCCTATGTTTAAAGCTTTTTGGGGGGCTCAGGACACATGGACGGACACAGACGCTCTAAAAAAAGAAATGCACATAAATTGGTGTGTGAAAGCAGGCTGACAACAGGCTCATATGCCAACAGAAGATAACAAAAAGAAAAAGAAAAAGAAAGCATGTTCCGGCGAACCACGCTGTAGAAAGAAATGAAGGGGAGGAGCCTAAACAAGGCGCAGAGAGAACTAAGAGGGAAATATTATAGCTGGAAGTAAGAAAGGGATTATAAAAAGTAATCTTTTCTCATTAGCCATAATATATGCTCCACTTTTACTTGACCTCCTCTGTCAAAAAGGGGTCGAGAGTCGACGGCACAAATACTTCACTTATTGTCTCGTTAGCGACCGCAAACAGAATTTGCTTCATTGAACATTGAATGAACTGACGTGAAAGTCATTAGAACAAACTAGCAGGGAGAGAACGACACGTACGGGGAAAAGAGAAAAGAAGGAAGCTGGAAGGGCCGCTGTGGCTCGGCCGGTCGCCATCATTACACAGTAGCCCGATTGCAATTAGCTTTGGATGCCACAATTAAGACACATTCAAGCAAATGTTGGCAAAAACCTAAATGAGCAGAAATGAGAGTTGGTATATACTCATTGAATGGGTGGACAAAGTGTCTACCTGAGCATCAGCAGAAACACATGAGACTATTTGTAATCAGAAGCTAAATGATCCTCCTAAAAAGGGAGAACAAGTATGTTTGACATCTCTGAAAAGGAAAGTTCTCCAGTTGTTATTTTACACATTGACCATGGACGCAGATCACAGGATGCTGCCAGTGTCAGACATTACGCATTATGCAACATTGTGAAAATTTTAAGATGAATATGCATGAAGGACATGGAAAATTGGGGGAAAGTGGCTCTCCCTTTTCCGTAATAAAAGAGGTGACGAGGGGGGGGAAGGGAAGGACTCATTTGGATTGGCGTGCGGAGGGTAGCTTCAAACCGGGCGACGGGAGGCGGCAGGCGGAGTGGAAAGATTTTAAAGTTTGAGAGATGGCTTAGATTCACGCACCACAAAAAAGGGGGGGACAGGGAAGCAATGGAAAGAAGTGGTTAAGATGAAGCTTACCATCACTCTTATGTCATCGGCAGACTAGAGGAGTTGGAATAAAATAGTATAGAAAGGAGGAGGAGAAGAGGGGGGGGGGCGGGGGGGGGGCAAAGCAAGAGAGGAGCGCACACTTAGTAAGGATCCGTGTTTGGGTTAGGGCTACTTAATGGTGAGGATTTTAATTACAGCAAAATACAAACGCTGCCATTTAATTCAATGAATCGCATTACTGTTTAGAGGTAAAAGAGAACTAAATTCTAAGGTTATTGTGATCAACGATTCCAGGGTCCAACATGGCTCGGACCGGAGTCCGATTTATTGGCGTGAGGAATCAATGTGGATGCTCAATGCGTGACACTTGAGAGTCCTGTATGTGTAACATAGTGAGGGACAGAGCAAATAGTGGTTGGGTGGTTGATTGTGAAATAGTATAATAAAAGTGAGGAAAATGCTCTGCTATGCTTTGAATAACAACAACCAGTATCTCACTGCTTAGAATTCTCCTGCAATTGAAATGTTCTTCCTTCTCCAGAATGTACGATGTGCCAATATTTTTCCATCTCTAAAAGACGGACAGTGAACGAGGTTTCCTTCTTCAGCAAAGTGTCCGGTTCAAGTCTCAAGTCTCCATTTGACGACACGTTGCATTTACTGAGAGCCGACAGCGTTGCAAACAAGTCGCACCCACTCTCCTCTCAGAGCGCCAAACATGCGCCTTAAGTAACAACAGGCAAAGCACATTCTTGACAGACCATTAACCGACAGGTCAGTCCTACATGTGACCACGTCTGTTCCCCCAATGAGCGCACGCGACGCCCCGAACCCGAGTTGAGAAACTCACACACTCCCCACAACGAACCACGACGCCAGCGGTTTCATGCGTTTTCTGCGTTCACGCGAATCACAGCCCGATGCGTCTGCCCCGTTTCAAAATACGCACTCGCACAACCGCCGCGCGCTCTGCGCTGTCCGCGGCGTGACCGAGGCGACGGGGTCATCGACCCGGCGACTCGACCCTCGCGCCTTACCGAAGCGAGTGCCCCGGCGTTTAAGCCTGCGTGGACGACGTCGTCCGCTCTCGTTGCCACGACAGCACAAAAAGGTGCTTGGCGCGGTCGCGTCAGTGGAGGTTGCCTCAGAGCGGCGCCCTGCTGCACTGCGCCAAAGCGTGTGGCGCTGAAACGAATCAACAGTAGGGGAACCTTCCCGTTAGTTGCTACGGATGCAGCCGACAGCAGACGGGTGCGTTTGTCACAGCATGTAAAAAGCAGGAAGGATAACTGCAGAGCACCTCGGAGATTGACAGCCTGTCAGACGCGATCTGAACCGCCCTAATGAACTGAATCTCACACATTCTGCCACACCGGGGGAAAAAATAAATAAATTAATGCCAGTCAGTGTTTCTGCGACCGAATTGGGCGCCCGAGAACTTCGGCGGCGGCATCGTGGACGCAGGGAGGGAAGCGTCTCCGAGCACGTACGCGCAGCGGGGGGAGAGATTCATCATAATTATCAGGGCCGCTGAACGGCGAATCAAATCAGAGTCCGTCGTCTGCATTCCATAAACAGACATTAACTGAGGGGAGACAAAAGAGCGTGGAGAGAGGCGGGAGGGGGGGGTCTGATGTGAGAGATACTCCCACTGCATGGCGAGAGCCGCAGCTGGTGCGCGTCAATGGGAGGGGTGGGGAGTGGGAGGCTGTTCAGGTTCATTTAAAACGTTAGACTAGAATCTTTTGGCGAGGATTAAGCAGAAACGGATTTTAATTTGAAAACACACAGCGCTCTCCTTGCGATCTGTGTCTGCGTTTTAATTTGCAGTCAGAGATGAAACGGCGAGTGAATCGGAGGAGTCCTCTGGTCTCCCTCCAGGGACCCGCGGGTCTGCGGTGGATAAAAGCCGGCCAGCCGTGACGCGCTGAGGCTCACGTGCCGACTCGCGCCAATGTTTGCGTAGTCTGTCTCTCTATTGGGGAAACTTGGTCATTTATTTGTTCGGTTCTTTTCTGTCCTCATCAATGTGTGAGTCCATCTGTAATTCTGCTTCGCATTAATGCAGCAAAAAAAAAAGAAGCGAAAACAGTCTCCGCTTTCATTTAAACTGAAAACGCCTGCAGCCGAGTACGAGAAAAGCAGAGCCATCCAACTCTAAAGCAATGTCAGGAATCAGGAATTTATTTATTTATTACCAAATATCATTATTATTATTACTCTTATTATTATTAGTAGTAGTATATACAAAATATGTTAGGCATACTTGGAATTTGACTCGGCGGTTGGTGCCGAACATCAGACAGTAAGACAATGCCATGACAAATTTACAGATTTACAATTTGACTTTACGGTATAAAATAAAATATAAGGCGGGAGGGATATAGAATAAACAATTTAAAAATAAAAGGATAAAAAGGAATTTAAATGAACAAATAAAAAAATAAAGGGCACCAACGAACAGATAACCATACTCTACACAACTGTGTTGTGGGTGTAAGAGAAAGTGACAGGTGTGTGTGCAGGTGTGAAGGGGGTGACCAGTGGGGGACCCGGGCTCTGTTGATGAGCAGAAATATGCCTTCAGTCCATTTGATCCTCGTGCATCTCAAAGAGACGCTCGTTCGATTGACTCCACACTCGGCGTGTGTCGTGCCGAGGATCCCTCGTAGCGCTTTATTGAGCTTGGAGCCATTTGGATGCGTAACAGATTGAATATTAGTACAATTACACTAAATTAGCAAATAGCAGTCCTTAGCATGTCGGCTCATCGACTGCGGTTTACTACTGGTGCTGGATTGTTGGAACGTTAAAACTAAACCCTTCACTGCGCTGCAGCCAGGCAACGTGCTGTGCGTTATGGGCACGCGGTCTACTCGCATTCTTGTTTCACATAAAAGAAACCAAACCTCTTAACTCATCGACTGCGTCAAAAATCGGCAGAATATAAACCGCGTGATGAAGTACGGTAAGTGTGAGCGTTTATTTACAGCTTTTGGTCCTTAGCAGTTTATGATCATCCTGGTACTAAAAAAGTACATACGTTCTATGACTAATCCGACCGTGGATTCCAAAGCCAACCTACTAAAGGTGCAGCAGCAGTAAAGGTTTCCCTAGTGCAAAAAAACGGTTTCATCCAAGAAGAAGCAGCTTCATACACACCTCAGTCCTTGAGCTTGCATACAAAATATTAATTTAATGGAGATCCACAAAGCAAGGGGAAATTATTCATATATTAATCACGGTGCTTTTATATGTAATACATTTTTAAAAATAGTGTCGCCCAAAAGTCGGCCAGCTGTTTTAAGAGGTGACATTTTATTTTCTTTTTTTACTTCCAGGTGCCATGCAGGATGTCCAACTCATACTCCTCTGGAGAACCTTAAAATGCCTCTAACATGGATCCGATGACAACAATAAGACATAAAAACAAGCACACACGTGTAAGAAAAGTAAACAAGTAGAAGAATATCTTCAGTTATTAAGAAGGTGCATGATGGGAAACGACGGCGTGTACGCCGTGAGCTATACAGGAGATTAGCTTACAAACGTATTATCTCGCCGTCTTCCAGCTCGGGGCTCCTTCTGCATGCAAACCCATTCAGTACACAGCTAGAGGTGTGAAGCGTCTACTTACAGTGATGGGGAGATGAGCTAAAAATGAGGAGGGGGAAACGGGAGAGAAAGCTATGAAACAAACACCACAAATTATTAAAGTGAGACG